CATTGCAAGGTATAAAATGCTGAAAACTGTTGAAAACCAAAGAAGAACAGGTGGTGCACGGAAAGATTTCTTCAAGATCTTCGAGGAAATTAATGCATCAAATTAAACAATACCCAAGGGTTGCTCGTTAAGAGTTGCAGGATGATTTGCTTTCATCAGGAATCTGTGTCACTAAACGGACAATAAGCAATGGAATTTGTAGGAACAGTCTAAAGTGACGTTCCTCTCGGTAAACTCCACTGCTATTAAAAAGACACAGAGACGCAAATCGAGATTCCTTGTGAACATAAGGATAAGAAAAAATCGTATTGGGGAAGAATATTATGGACAGACGAAATCAAAACAGTTGTTTGAGCGTAATTCTAGAAATCGTGTATGGAGGAAATATGGCAATGAACACAGTTCCAACATTGAAATTTGGTGGTGGCAGCGTTATGCTTTGAGCCACCCTGCCGACCCGCAGTTGGAAATTCGCCTTCAGCTGGGCTGGTTAAGTTCTCTGCTTCCGATCAGAGAGCATTCCCAGACGGGGCTATGTCGAAAGAGAACCAGCTACCCGACTCCGTTTTACACGGGGTCTACGCGGAAGTTTTGACTGAGCCTACGGGCTCGGAAACCCCACATTAAATTTGACCTTGTGCCACATCTGACTGCATGGGACAGTTGGTAGATACCGTCCTTTATATTACATCTTTGCTAAGCAAACGTTAGTTGCAGTAACTGTATATTCCTCAGAGGGCCGTATACGGTCTTGAATTCAGAGTTTTTTTACTCCTACTATGGTCGCCAATAGTCTAGTCTACCCAGCTATTTCCTCCAAAGTTGGAAGGAGAAGTGATTGAATCGTGCCTTTTCCAACAGTATTTGTGAGAAAGTGAATGTAACGATTTCAAACGAAATGCGAACTCGGCATGCCTGTTTTACTTTTCGTGCCTCTGATATTTACACCACCTGCACATCCAGTCGATAATATATAAGAAATAGTAACAAAATAAGTTTCCGCCTTTTTTATTTGGACAGTTCTTCTTCTTCTTCTTCTTCTTCTTCTTCTTCTTCTTCTTCTTCTTCTTCTTCTTCTTCTCCGTGCCAGCTCCCGTCAAGATATTGGCAATCATAGCTCTCCACAGTTTCTTGTCCTTTGTAGCTCTTAGGAAAATGTGTCCTATTGCTATTTATCCTAAACCCTGTTCTGCCATCGAATTAGTCGCCTTCGATATGTGTTGCGAGTGTCAAATTTTCCAAGCCCTCTTTCCTCATTGTACACCTTGGAAATTTCAACTCTTATTGATGCTAAGCATAAGTGTCATTTTTGGTTCCATTTTCTCTAAAACTTTGTTGTTGTTTATGTTTTCAGCCTATGGTATTCTCCGCATCCTTCTGTAGAACCACATTTCTGTTTTTTCAAGTCACTTCTTCGTCTCTGTCAAATATTCACTTTAGATTTCTGTTCCGTGACTGCACAACTAAACTTTATCCACGATTACTTAGTAATATGATAGCTATATCCACGGTTACTTAGTGATATGATAGCTATATCCACTGTTACATATTGGATTTGAAGCTATATTCCCAATTAGTTATATTAAAGCTATATCGACAGTTACTAAATGATAATATTAGAAATATTATGCTTTGGATTTTCTTCTTAATTCAGGAGTAGATAGGTTGGCCTATCATCCTGTTCACACTCCTTCCTTTTAACAAGAGTAGAGATGTATCCCTTGTTTCCTGTTTAGGATTCGGTTTCCGGTTCCTTCTAAAGCCTATTTCAATTCTATACTTCTAAGATTTTCACCTAAAACTCTGAAATTTTATTTACTATTTATTTATTAATTTTTCCTCAATAGGAATAGATAGGTTCGCCTATCGTCTTGTTCACGCTCCCCATCGGGAGTAGACGGAAGTCCCTTGTATCATGTTTAGGATTCCGGCTTTAAAGTCTTTTCATTCTCTTTCACTCCCAGTAGTCCTTTGCGTCTTAGTGGCATTATCGCCTTGCTTGGGGTGAATTGTTTAGAAAAAATAAACTTCTTTGCTAAGATATCTCAGCTGGTCGAAAAGATCATCCCTCACTGAACATGTAGTGCAAATGTACTCGATTTACAATCAGATTTTTACAGCAGTTGCTAATCATCGATTACTTCGGGCGATTTTTCCCGCGAACAAACAGGTGTTGCTCTAATTTAACGAAAAGAACTAGAACGACTAAATCGATTTTTGAATTGGTTATTCCATGCCTACTGTTAAAGTTACCATCTCTCAAATAGATTCCCAGCCCATACACATAAAAGACAATGACAAATATTTATTTAGTATTGTCATCTTCGTCTTTTTTAACATAAGTTTCGGCTGATTCGTTATCCAGGCTTTAAATTTCTGTTAGTAATGTGGGAGATTGTCACAGCATTCGTACCATGGTGTTTTTACAAGCACCACACGTAAAATATTATTGATATAAGATATAGTTTTTGATTTTCTTGTTATATATTGCGAAATGTAAGTTGTGAAATTGTAAGTTTCAAAATTTCAAACAACAAAAAAATACGTTTCATTTTAATTTCAGTAAACAAATAAAAGTGGTCATAATTTTAAAAAAAATATTATTACTAAAAACAGAAACCTATTGAAGCAACCGACCCTGACCAGGCATCTCAACTTCAGTCATTTTCTCACCGACCCGACGTGGTTTCCCTCAGCCTTTTCTACAAATATTTTCATGGCAACTGTTCTGATGAGTTTTCCCTGATACCCCGACGACATGAATTTAAACGTACTACTAGAGTGGCAAATAGTTTTCAGCGTTTTAGGGTTGAAATAGCTAGAAGCAACAAACACTTCTACTCTAACAGCTTCTTTTCGCACACTTCCCACCTGTGGAACTCCCTTCTGATTTCTTGCTTCCCCGATAACTTCTTCCTCTATGTGCCGTATCTCTTCAGGACGTAGGCGATCATGACTCTCTACAATTTCCTGTTCTTTTTAGCTCTTAATAAATTATTTCCTTTTGTTATTTCTCCCAAACACTGTTCCGCCATCAATTCAGTTAAGCTCATTATGTTATGCGTTGTTTTCCTCTGTCCCACTTGCCTTTAATTAATCCTGAGATTATCAGATTTTCCATCTCCTCTTTCTTCATTATCCGAGAAATTTAAGCTCAGTTATCTCTCCCTGTATTTATGTATGTTTCCTTTTTGTTTCCATTTTCTCGAGAACTTTGTCTTTGCTCACATGTTAGGTATCCTCATAAAAATTTAAGCGCAAAATCAATCGCCATCTTCTGACTTCTTGAACCCTGTTCATTTTTGTCCTTTCTTCAATGCTCCCCATTCCCAGGCTTTTTTTCTTTTTCACTCCCTATAATCCCTTGCGTCTTAGTGGCATTATCGCCTTACTTGGGGGTGTGAAACGATTAAAAAATAGGAAAAAATAGTTAATTGACAGAGTTATTCAGAAAGCTTCTTGACGAATAATAGATAATTGGCATGCTACTTGTTAAATATTAATGAAACATTTTCTGGGCTATTCAAACGCCCTACGATATTAACGGAGGGTTAAAAATATATGTTCCATCCAATAAGTCTTGAATCATTTATCACTCTTTTAGATTTATTTATTAACTAGCTTAAAAGCCGCCCTATTGGGCCCGCTACTGCGGAGGGCCCTTGATTGGGTCCTCGGGCTTTTCAAGAGTTTGAGAGTCCCTAAGTCTTTGTATATTCTTTGCATTGAAAGTTCTTCTGGCAGCCGTTTGATTTGGGTTTTCATTTGTACGGAAGTTTCTTTTACTAGCTGCAGCCTTGGCTCTTTGGATTGCAATCTGGTCCTATTTTGAAGGAGATTTATTTTATCAAGGCATACTGATACCGTATGCGACAATAAACTAAAGAATAACTCAAAATTGACTGCTGCATTTATGTATTGCATTCATATTTAAATTTACCTTCTAAAAGTTCAACGATAATTCTTCTACCGCCACTTAATTTAAAGACAATTTGATGTACGTAGTTCCTTATTTTCCTTACAACCAATTATTTTTCTTTCATGGTTGACTTTCGTTGTATTCTGCAATTAGTTTCGGTTATTCCCAAATTTATTTCCAAGTTAAAAAAATTGTTATGTTATGAAAATTTCGTCGCAAAAAATCACGTAAAAATCGCCGAAAACCATCGCAGTAATGAAAACTTGTGAATCGAAAATTTCTGTAACATGAGCTATTGAAAGTTAGAGTGTTATGTCCCTTTAATTGAAAATGTATGACACATTGACACACTGACATTCGCATTTATTTTATAAAATTACGTTTTCTGTTCGCTTTCGTCTCGATCTTCAAAACGTCGAATTTGTGTTGCATTTCAACCTTCTTTTGTTTTTCAGTCCTTTAACCCTCGACTCTGGATTTTTCTTATTCATGAGCTGACAGAATTCAGATAAAGTAGAAGAAAGAAAGAAAAATAATATAGTCTCGGCATATCAAAGATGCTGAAGTCAATACACTCGAATGTATTGTTTTTTTCAAATAGGTTGTACCTGTGAGATAATACAATTACTTCATTGCATAACAGTCTATATAAACTCATCACACTGCTGACTGTTGACTATGTCATTTGATACTGACATACAATGCGATCGCTGTTAATGGATGACTCAGAAATCTCGTAGGTGATCTCGTATGTTCTCGTATCCCACACATGTCACACAACACGAACTTAACAGTTTTAGAATAATTCTGCTTTTGTTTATTTTTATTCTAGTCGTCGAATCTGATAAACTTATTTAATTTATTGCCCCTCTTATCTTTTAAAATCCAAACGCATTTTCCTTACACACAATATTTAACTTTCTTTCCAACCTGAAGAAGCTGAACACAAAACATGTCGGCGAAACGTGTCGTTTATAAGCTGTTCCACCTCGTCTCAACATCTGCACTTTTGTTTCAAATACTATTATACTTCCTACAAACACCCATACTCATATTTATACAATAGTAGGGAATTAAATGCTTACGGCTACATCAAGGTTGAAACACCGATTCTCGTATGATCACTGAAGTTAAGCAACGTCGAGTCTGCTCAGTAACTAGATGGGTAAACACTTGGGAATACTAGGTGCTGTAAGCTTTGACGTGAGTATAGTGCAATGTATAACGGCTAGGAATTAAAAATCGGAGAACCAGGTTTCGATTCCAGTTGAGTTCAAAATGTTCACTTACGCGTAAATACACTTGAGAAAGATATGAATTCACTTCTTCTCCCCCAGTTATGGGTTAATTAGTAGGAATGTATCAGTATATCATTATTATCTTCAAAAAAACTTCTTACAAACAATGTAAAAAAAAATTTCGCTTTAAAATAACCTGAAAAAGGTTGATAAGCCGTAAAATAACATCAAGTAAAGAATGAAGATAATGACATCAAATTTTGTAGAAGTCGTAGGATGTTGACACATATATCTGCCCTGTCAGCTGGGAATTAAGAATACGTCGACTGCACCTCTAGAGGTAAGACCCACCCGCCAAATGAAGCGTCCTGGGTAAGACGATAAACTACACCCGCGTCCTGGGTAAGACGATAAACTACATCCGACAGCAAGGCCTCTGATCAGGAGGTTTTGAGGAGCGTGGAACCACCTCTTAATTGCTGGTGTTCCCAGGTCGATCCTGACCCGAAGTGGTAGCACCTTTTAGGGTCCCAGCTATGGGCAAATAGTTAACCCCTAAACTGGGCACACAATGCTATGAAAGTGTAAAAATTGGTTTTAATACCAGAAATACATCTCTGCAACAAATTATTACCAGTAACGAACTAAAAAAATTATTACCAGTAATACATTTTTGAAAAAAGAAAAATATTACCAGCAGTACATTTTTGAAAAAAAAATTATTACCAGAAATATATTTTTGATAAAAGAAAAATATTACCAGGAATACATTTTTGAAAAAAGAAAAAAATATTACCAGCAATACATTTTTTTAAAAAAAATATTACCAGAAATACATTTTTGAAGAAAAAATATTAACAGCAATACATTCTTGGAGGAAAAATATTACCAGCAATACATTTTTGGAGGAAACATATTGCCAGCAATAATTTTTGAAGACAAAAATATTAACCGCAATACAAAAATATTACTAGCAATATATTTTTGAATAAAAATATTACCACCAATAAAAATCTTGTCGGTATTAAATAACCCATTGAGGGTGATATACCGTAAAACAAAACCAACCAAAACAAACCCATATATCTCCTTATATATACAAACTAAATTAATTTAAAGTCTGCTACACTTGCCATGAACAAAAAATGATTAGAAAACTTCCTCTAGAAGATTGCATTATAAACGATAAATATGAGGATATTAGCATGAAGGATCCATGGAATAATGACAAATCCTTAATCCTATAGAATTCCTATCATACAAAACGTGAAAATTGAATTTTTCTAGTCTGAACACAATTGACTGCTGTAACTTCCAAAATATTCCATTTGTGAAGCTATCGTCATGAGACGATGGTGCCATCACTAGAAGCCTTCTTACAACTCGTATTCTTGAATATCGTTCATATGTCATTGTATTAATTATAAAAATAACGATAAAAATCCAGTATTAATTACAACTACTATTACTATTAAAACTACTAGTAGTATTACTACCGCATCGAATTTGAACAGACTTGCGCGCGCCACTCCTGTTCATGATGATCTGCAGTTATTTAATGTATCCTCAAGTAGTTGACAAATGTTTCCGCTGCTCGACCTTATCATTATAATTTTATATTATTATTACATATGCAATATCGGTCCTCCTATATGGCAGTGAAAGCTAGACAATCACCTCACAGATGAAGAAGAGACTTGTTATTCTTCACAGCTCTTAGTAATGTTTGTCTTTTACTGTTAAACTTCATGTTCTGCTAACGATTTACAAAAGCTCGTTACTTACTGCTTTCCTTTGTTCTGCTTCCCTTTAATATGTCCTGTGAGTGTTAAATTTTCCAGCCCTTCTGTTCTCCTTATGTGTCCTAGAAATTTCTGATATTATATATAATTGTCCTTTTTCTATTTTCTTTAAAAAAACCGTTGCTTACATGCTTCTTTCATGTTATTCTCAACATCCTTTTGCAGTCCAGACGAAAATGTTTGAAATAAAATTGACACTAAAGTATTACTATCCTCAGAAAAAATAATGTATCATGAATCTTTCATTCTATATACTTATTTGCATTTGGAACGAAAACTTTGTTGAACTCTCTGAATTTTATTTCAAAGACTTTTTATTAGGTTGGTGCAAAAATAATGACGTAAGAATGTCGTTTTTTGACGTAGAAATGTACGTCAAAAAAAACGACATTATTACGTCATTATTTTTGCACCAACCTAATATTAGTTTTAGGCTTGTAGCTTATAAAAGATTAGGATTCTTAGGCATTATTTCTTAATTCTTGCAAAGATTTAAAATACACAGTTCCTTTACATTGTAATCATATAACATATTACTATTACTACAACCTCAAGCATGCTCTGCATTCAGAGTTACAGACCTTCAACTTTTCTTTGTCGCTCATTATGATCTTAAATATTGCACTGTGCATCCTCTAGACAAAAGATTTTGCTGGTCAACTTGTTATTTTTGCTATGAAGTGATTGTCACAGCAGTACATGAAACAGTTCTTCATGGCGCCAGCAGTGTCCTACAAATTTTAATCTATGCTTTCGCGTGGTTTCAGAGATGGGAAGGATTGTTTGACATATATTGACGCCATAAGATGTTAAGGAGCAACCAGGAGAATTCTAGTGTAAGCAGCATTAAGTATTCTCTCAGTTGATGATGTCAAAATCCAAATGGTTGAGTCAGAGTTAAGAATAGTTTCAACAGCAGCACAGAAGAGGACAACTTTAATTCTCCAAGGGCGGCCCAGTTTCAATCTTCTGTCACGATTGTTTAGGGCACCTCAGGATTTACCTCTTCTGATGGATGTGTCAGTTTTAGAATTTGTAATATAGCTTTCTAGGCATTTAAAATCATTAACAGATTTAATTTGTTCCTAGCTCAGAGTATGTCGGACGTCATCTGTTTTCTGCTTATAATTCTGGTACGGTGATCCTGCTGTATCTTTAGAGATTTTTGATAAAATCCAATGAAAAATCCGCAATATTATTGGTGCTGATCTGGTATCTTGGATTCGGACACTTTCTCATCGCCGTAAAGTTGTTTCCCTGTACCTTTTCTATGAACACTTTCATGGTAATTGTTCGGATGAGCTCTGCAATATGATACCTAGATTTTATGAATTTAAGCACCGTACTAGAGTGTCGGAAAGGTTTCATCAATACACAGTTGAATTGGTTAAATTTAACCGTAATTTCTATGCTAAGAGTTCATTTTCTCGCACTTTTCTCTTGTGTAATTCACTTTCGGCTCCATGCTTTTGCCACCTACTCTCTTTCTCATTACTCTTCTATTGTTCTTGTTCCTTAATAATCTTTTTTCTTATACTTTCACATTGTGTCTTAGTGGCTTTACTGCCTTGCATGGGATAAATGATTAAAAAGCATATATGCACAATTTTAGAAGCATCAATGCAGAAGCATATATCGCTGGCCATATATCGCTAGCTTTTGAGGCAGAATGATTACCTCTTTAAGTCCAGTAGTGGTAATGGCTATATCATTTGCGTTGTCCACATCTGTTAGCTTCTCGCGATATCTTCTGCTTTTCTTAGTATTAGGGTAAAACGAAGATGACTGTTGGAATCAATGTTTTTTTTTAGCACAAAGTCAAGATATATAATAAACAGATAAGGTGCTTGTTTGTCACCTTGAAAAAAAACACCAGCTGTTAATTCAAAAAGCCAGTATAAAGATCAGATGTTCGCATCTGATATCCTGGGTATAACGACAAACTACATCCGGCAGCAAGCCATCTGATCAGGAGATTAGATGTTTTGAGAAGCGTGGACCCACCACTTAATTGCTGTTGTTCCCGGATTCAGCTTGACCCGTGGTGGAAGCACCTGTTAGGGTCCCAGCTATGAACAAATAGTGACCCTAAAGAAAACTATGAAAGTATAAAAATACATTTTTATAGTATACCAGTAATGCATTTTTGTATTAAAATTTACCAACAATATGCACATTCAAACAAATTGTAGCGTCTTCACTGAAATACGTTAAAAATACTACCAGACAACCATCAGGAACACTTCACTTTCATTGCTGGCAATATTTGTTTGAAAAAAAAAAGTATTGCTGCTTATAATTTTTTTCCAAAAATTTATTGCTGGCAATATTTTTTCCAAAAATCTATTGCTGGCAATATTTTTTCCAAAAATCTATTGCTGGTAATATTTTTTCTTCAAAAATATACTGCTGGTAATATTTTTCTTCAAAAATATATTGCTGGTGATAATTTTTCCCTTCAAAAATGTATTGCTAGTTGCTGGGAATAATTTTTAACAAAAAAGTATTGCTGGTATTAGAACCTATTTTTACCCTTTCATAGTGCTCTGATCCCAGTTGGGTGTTAACTATTTGCCCATAACTGGGGCACTAACTGGTGCTTTTTTTCCAAAATGTGTTGCTGGTTATATTTTTTTTTAAGTATTGCTGGTAATTTTTTTTTCCCAAAATGTACTGCTGGTAATTTTTTTTTCAAAAATGTGTTGCTGGTAATATTTTTTTTAGAAATGTATTTCTGGTAATAATGTATTGCGGGTAATAATTTTTTCCTTCAAAAATTCATTGCTAGTAATAATTTTTAAGAAAAAAAAGGATTGCTGGTATTAAAACCTATTCTACACTTTCATAATGTTTAGACCTCAGTTTTTGTGGGGCCAACTATTTTCCCATAGCTGTGACTCTAACAGTTGCTACCAACCCGAGTCAGGGTGGACCTAGGAACAGCATCAATTAAGAAGTGGTTCCAAGCTCCTTAATACCCTTGATGTTGGACGTAGTTTATCGTCTTACTCAGGACGCAAATATAGTTTATCGTCATACCCGGTACGCGAGAATTACAAAGAAACTTATAGTTACACTCAGAAAGAAACAGCTGAAATTTCTGGAACCCATAATGAGGAAAAAGGACCTAGAGAATCTAACACTGACAGGACATAT